AGGCACCGAATCTTTCGTGTCTCGTACCATCGGCGCGTATGTAGGACAGAGGCGGGGGCGAATGAACGTATATCAAAATCCAGCGAGAATTCCGCAGCAGTCCGCGTCGCGTCATTAAACTTCACGCGGTACATGACGTGAGTTTTTTTGCGCGGAAACAAACTCACACACCGGTGGGAAGACAATCGCTCGTAACGCACGCGGAAATGTTATATGACGTCATTTTGCGGCGCACGCTGCAATGTAAGTATAATACCGAAAAATTGCGTAATTTCTGAATGAATGAATATAAATTGAATAACATATGAAAATTCACATGTAAATATTCTTTGTGATAGCTATAAAGAGTACATCGAAGCGTGGACAAAAAATATTTCGAACTGCCAATAACAGTCGTTAGCTTCCTGATATTAACTAAAATAGCTGGATCAAGCAGCGCGTTCACCGTGGGATGAAGCCATATCGAATTGGCGACAGAGTTTAGCGTCATTTCACCATTGTGTATTGTTAGATCAATGCTACATATGAATCGGATTTTCTACAAAAGGCACGACCATTGAGATGAAAAAACGATCGTAGCGGAAAATACCATTTTTGTGGTCGCTTTTATTTTCTGTAAACGCCACAGTCTTTTATAAAATGCTGCATGCGACCGACGCTTATTAAATGTTATCGGGCAAACGTCATTGAAAATAAAATGAACGTCCCGCTTTCGTGGGCATATAGACCACCGGCGGTCCTTTCAAAACAAACAAATATGAGGTAAACCGAACTCCAGTAGCTTAACAATACAGGGTCGACAGAATGCGAATAAAGTTTAACAAAAAAAAACAACAAAAAAAACCATCAAAGAGGCTGTAGCCGAAAAGTGATTACGCAACGTCGTCGAACTAAGCGTGTGTACGACTTTTGATAAATGCCGTTACGCGCTAAAAATTTTTGTACATTTCGTAATCCATTGCGCTCCGCTGCGATTTATTATATTCAACGATTGCTGGCAACCGGTCAAACCGTATACAGGATTGAACGCGCGCGTTAATTTCGTTTCGCGTACAAATGGCTTTCCTTTATTTTCACAAATTGCGAATGTATGTACACGTACTCCGACAGTCGGGAAAGGGATTACTCCGCATTGTGTGTCGAAATGTTTTATTGATATCGGCGATGGAATTTATCAGCGCGCGATGACTAATGGATCTGCGTCTCGTTTGGAATTGAACTCACGCGAAATGTTTGCGGAAACGACTAAGAATATCGCAACTTACAGATGTACATTATGTTGTTAACAATGGATGCACGTAATATCCGTGCACTTTAGCTTCGTATTACGTGTGATATTTCGGTTCACCGCAGCATAGTTGATTACCTATCTCGGAATAACTCTGGTTTACCACTGCATAGTTGATTGGCTATATCGAAATAACGCGAGTTTATCAGTTCAACGCATTAAAGCGGCACACATGTGCTACATATCAAGCGCGGCCGGCATTGTTCGATGTGATGATAAGAAGTTTTCTAGGACGCCGCTATGTCGGCAAATTCATGAACATTCTTCGCACCGGTCCACGACAACACCTGCCAACCATTTCTTCGAGTCATCCATCTACTTTGCGCCCGTTTCACATATTAAACTTCAGTTCACGTCGGCGGAAGAAAATCACTAAAAAGTCTACGGCAATATTCCTTTTCCATATTACATCAAGCGCAAATATTCTATATTTCTTCGCGTATGAAAGCTCGCATCCCCGCAACGTAGAAGTGAGATCTTTGAAATTTTTTTATACGGTGTTTCCAAGTTTCCTGTATTATGTTTTATATCTACAGTTTCTTTGATCATTTTAGTACTGAATTTTGCTTGATATTTTGAATGCTACCTGCATTTCCTATTGGCAGTTCTTTAAGCTGATCATTTATTTCAATTTTCCAACATTCTTCCTACAAATACAAGCAATTTGGTTTTTTGTTTTGCCATATGAGATATAAAAATAAAAGTTACATCACATGCCATAAAATAAACTGTCAATAACAAAAAGATAAAAGATTAAAATTAAACAAAAGGAATGCTGCAGAACAACATAAAATATAAAATAAATAACTTCGTTTTCATACCAAAAATTGTACTTTTCAGCAACTGCAATTTAAAAAATATAATTAAAATGTTCGATTGTGCAATGTTGAAAAATGAAGATATCATTTATTAACCAATAAATCACACACAATATGATACGCAACGGTAAACAATAAAACTTGTGTACAACGCGTTTTCCTGAAAATAGGGAATACTGTATTATAAGCAAGATGTAAAACAGACAAAAAGGGCACAATGGCGTTTATGCGTTCGTTGTTTTTCCAGGACGAATTGCACAATACGCAAAACCCACTGGTTATTTTCCCGACCGTCGGGCAAACGGAAGTATCCAATCACCCGTATTTCGAACAGAAATCCATTGGAGAGCCAGATTCAAAACACCAGGATATAGATTATCGGTGGACGATACTTTTCGATTCCGCAGTGTACGAACACGATCATAAAATTGGGGTTGCCAACGGAGACACTAGTTGTGTAGAGGCATTGCATCAATGTAATCTATTGATACGTACGCAATCTCTCTTCTCTATTGGCTGCAATCTTCCAAGCTAGATTTTCGATTCGATTAACAAGATAGTGCGATAGTGAAATAATACTTGTCTAAATTATATAATATTACAATTAAATTAAATGGATTAAGTGCGAAAGATTATTAATCTAGTAACTATTTTCTAAGCGTCGAGAGAACATCTTTAATAATACCAAAATTTAGAATAATCTCATTGAAATAATTATTACTTAATCTTTCTTAAAGAATTATTAAATAATTAAAAAAATGCGGGACAAGCGACATCAAATTACATCAGCGCGTATAATCTGTTAAATTAACGACGGAAAAATGTCTAGAACAAAGAATAATTTTCATAGAAAATTTAATAATTTCTAAAATTATACAACAAATAGGAAATTATACATATATTGTTGTAGGAGTAAAGAATTCGATATGCTAATTACTGTTTGAATATCTTTCACACAAAGCAAGAATGCGATAAATTAGTTTTAAACAATTTTCAAGCAGGTTTATAACTTCACTAATCTGCGTTTCAAAGCGAAACTATCGTGAATTATTTCGCATCCACTCAGCATCCACCCGCAGAGAGAACATAGAAATCATTGGCGCACTACCGACTCCGTACGTACACGAGGCGACGAAAGTTGTGGAACGCCGGCGGGTGCATCGGGCAAAGGGTAAAAGGACGGGTCGGCCGGTCGGAAGGTAATGGGAGCGTAGGTTATACCCGTGGCCGCTCAATTAAATCTCGTCGACGTCGCGTGCAGGAAGCAGGCGCAGCGTGCACCGGAGGCTTCCTTACCGATTTCGAGTGGGTGGACCCCGCTCTCGAAATTTATTAGTCCGTGCGACCAACCGACTAATCTCGACTCGGAACGGTACGTGTGCGACTATTACTCGCAGAACGTCCACTATTTGAGATCGCAGACGAGAGCATTGAATAAACAGGTGCGCGCAGATCGAGATGCCGCATCGCGATGTGCGAAAAGACGATATATAGTTACCATTGTTTACTCTCGAAATTCCTTTCGTTGAATGTTATAGAATATGATACAGATAATTACTGATATACCACAAAGGATATCGCACAAATTCGTTAGTGGGCTTGCGTACAATGGTATTGGATACTGAGAAACTTGATCTGATTCCATGGAAACATAATCTAACTTGGCCTAACCAGACTTGATCTAATTTGCACTGACCTTAGACATCTGTTCGGTTATATTCACGTTGAAAGCTAAACTCGAATTACCATTCAAATTGGCCGAAGAGATGTGATGTAATGTAAATGTTAAGTGTGGCCCATTAAAATTACGAATTAAATGCAAAATTTTCGAGTTTTGTTTGTTTTTAATCTAACGACGTTTAAGCAGCGTCATCTTGGCTAATCGTAAACAGTTTTAAATATCTAACGAGTTGTGAAAAGCTTGTAGACTTTAGAAAATCTCAGATTTACAGGACATTACTGGGCAAGTAGAAATGAGATTTTTATACTCACCTCTTTCTGGTACGGGCTCGCGTATTCCCGTGCCGAGCTGGAGCTCGCTCGTCGTCGAGTATATGCCAGGTATCTGTGCGGTGCAACGTAGATTCAACTGGCCGTTCGTGTAATGGAACGGCTGAAGGGTGAGGCTCATCTCGCTCCACTGCGCCCCGTCCTCGTCTTTCGCACGGAGCTGCCTCGCGGTCGCCTCCACCTGCGACAAATCAAGCGTGATCCCATCGTCAGATGAATCGTCGTACGAACGTCGCGAGAAAAAGGGCTCGCGGATACTGAGAGGTGGGGTAGAACGTTGGAGAGAACGCCGGGGAAATGTAAATCTGCTTTCAGCGAAATCCGTTCATCCGGAATCAGAGGGCGAACTCCCGTTGCCTTGCACCACCGCGCCCGCCCGCCGTCCTCCTCTCGTCGTCATCCCGCGCACTCAACGGCGTCCCGCGCCAAGTACAAAGACAAGGGTTTCCAGCTCGATAGAAAGTTAGAGGACTCGCTCGCGTTCCCGGCGCCGTGCCCGCCCCGATTAATGTCCCTCCTTCTTTTTTTCTCTTCCTGCGTGAAATCGGTTCCGTCGAGTCGCGACGGCAACGAGCACGCCTGTCGAGAGTATTGGTCGGAATGACCGAGTTCCGGCTTTCTTAATGGATCATTATCGTTCCGAGAGAGATCGTGATGGCGTCGAAAGTGAGTTATTCGAGTAAATCGTACGATGGCGCGATTTGTAAGTAAATCGTAAAAAGTTTACATAAACTTTCGTCGACGGAGACGCTTCGCTTCATAAATCAATAGAATTTCTGCATATTATCTTCGATAAGCAGTTTTATTCTCTCGAAAAGCGAGACGTAATCTTTACACGAAATATATTAATGGCGGAGAAAGAACTTTTTTCTCGGCTCGGTATAAAAAATTAATATCGTTAAAAATAAAAATATCTTCGACTTTTCAAAGTGATTCAGCAATAAAAGCTAAAACAGTTATCGAGTCATTCAAATATCAATAACTCGTACTAATCTTATACTTAATAGTTTAAGTGATAATAATCTCAGTAATAACATAATTTCAGATTCATAGCATTACGTACACCTGATGCGCGCTTCAAGAAGATACTTGTTACGAAGTTTAACAGCACTTGCATCGGACAAACGTTAAATTACAAGGAACATTTTCGTATTATGTAGGTTAACTAAAAGCAGGTTACTGAATTAGTACACCAATAGATTGCATATCAAATTGTCTTTCTCGAATATTCGAAATTTCTTGAACACAAATCAATTAGCATTAGACTTTGAGTTTGTTATTAGTTTCCTATAGGTGTCCTTACCTTATAAGAGAATACTTTTGTGAAGGGAATAAATAGATAAGAATACTTGTAAGCACAGACATCGGAAATAATTACGAGAGAAACGCAACAAAATCTTCCCGAGTTAATTTTCACGAATAGCAATCAACAGTAAAATTGGATCTTAGAGAATGATTTTTGATTGCGTCAGTCAATCAAATGAAGCCAAACGAAACTAATAAAAGGACTTCGCAGCGAGGGAAGCCACTGTGGTGTTGTACAAAATGTTACACGACAATATAGCTTCTATAATCCATGAACTCTTTGAACTTCAAATTTCAGGTTTGCGAAGCATGAAAGAAGAGTTTTCGGTTGTTCCATTATCATGTTATAAAATTCATTTTTCCACTAAATGTGTACAAGACGTTTATGTTTTTTATACTTTTCGCTGGAATTCGCGTAATAATGTAATAAATAATGAATAAATCGAATAAAAAATATTATTGGCTAAAAATTGATGGACATCTTCATTCATTGTGCCGTAATTGAGACGTGTCAAGCTTAATGTTAACTGTGGAACAAACAATGTCCGGCGGAAGCATGCGAGCAAAAGAGAGCACTTGCTGACTTGACGTTTTCTCAGCTGAGGAATTATGCAATTCGCGCGATCCAGCGTGATATACGGCGGCACGCGCAAAAAAGTTTCTTGCCCAATGATTAATGACCGAGTAGCATTGATGCTTATCCCCTGACGCGGTAAATGCGCCCAGCCGAATATAAATTCCGCCTTTTAAACAGCTACCCGCGAAATTCAATCTCGGTGGGAAGTGAGCGAAAGTGATTACAGCGGTTGAATACAGATTATGAGAAAGCGGTCGCTACGTCATATTTAAGCGCCCCGGATTTTCTTTGTAAGCGTCCAAAGGAAGGCTATATCTCTTTTCCCACCGGCACACTTTCGTGTTCCGTACGACGGAAAATTAAAAAAAGAAAAAAAATGCTTGAGTTTACCTAACGGATCGTGAAATTTTCTATTATGAGATTAAATGTGCTAGTCTTATCGAAGAAAAAAAACCACTCTAATATTACTTTGCACGGGTATAAAGAAAGCTTTGATGTAGATGCATTTCTGAAAAGATAATACTCAATGTATTTATGCAACAATAAATTCTGAAAAGGCAATTCGACTGATTTTGCACAACGTTGCACATATAAAATAGTAAACCGGGAGATGTAATTTGTTCCTCGATCGAAGTGCATGATTCGACAAACAAAAGGTTAAAGTTTGTAAGATCTCGTAAAACTTTCTTTTCGATCTTTTAATTGCCTGCTCTCGTCAGAAGTTTCGGATGAACTTCTAAGCCCACGTATCTCGATCTTTACTTCAAAATTCCTTAGCGAATTCGTAATTGATTTTTTATTGATGAAGATTTTATTGTCATTTTTTTTAGTTACGATAATTCTTACGTGCTTGTCTTCGTAAGTACTTTACGCAAAAATATCCAAAGTCGCAAAGTACCATCTGCATTTTGAAAAACGTTTAACGTGGATGTACGAAAGTTATATACACATCAAGAATGCAGAGGTAGAAACGCTAACGATGTTTGCTTCGCATGCCCAACCACATTCTCTAGAATTCCCGCATTCCCGCAAAGCCTACACAGGTTAAGATAGATGCAACTATCGCCACGTGTAATCTAAGTTAATTAATCACGCTGGAAATTTGAGATCGAGTTAAAGTGGATTTATCTGAAATAATTTCAATAAGTCTATGGAAGAATTTATATTATTATAATAATACAAGAGTGTTGAGCGGCACACACTATACATATCCTTCATTCCAAAACAGAATGGACAAATAAAACGCTTTCGAATATATTTAATTTAAGCTGTAGCGCTCTTTTATGATTCTAATAATAAAATATTTTTACATCATCGACAAACTGAACAAAAGGTGACGCATATAAAATTTTTCGAATTACAACTTTGTTCAAATAAAATTACTTCAAACGAATTAAATAATAAATTAGTTTGGAACCCTTTGTATCTCTTTGTACTGTGGCTTAATCATATGTTAAGATTCTTCATCTTTTTAATTTTTAATGTCAACTTTTAAATTAGATCGCACTTTTTAATTTCCAACTGGAGGAAAAATATCTTCGCATTCATTGAAAAATATTACCACACTGTTGATTTATGCTTTTTGCGGTGCAGCCAGCATTTTCTAATTTTATTATTCGTCATTTGAAAATGGAATTCTTTCTTTCCGTGCTATTCAAGGCGCAGATTACCAGAAATGCAGCAGGAAACCCGCAGGCCATTACAGAGCTATGTACCGTGTGAACGCGAGCGCGATATGAAATCTCGCAGTAATGCACATTTAATTGCACGTACAGTACTTGTTGAATCGATGCGCGCATATATCTGAAAACCAATATATTCGATTGATATCGCGAACGTGGAATCCGATTGGTATCGAGAAAATACGACCATCTCCATGGGGACCGAAGTAGCGCGAAAATAGATAAAAAAAACTGTCTTCGATACGAGACAAACGAGACTTGCAAAAAAATTATCTTTAATAGAATTACTTTATCCGCTGTGCGGATAGTAGGCTGTTTTCGTGCTTTTCTTTTCAATCATAAATGCATTGTAATACATTTCGTCGTGAAAAGCAACGCACAGCTTTATTATTCGACGAAGGCGATCAAAATACTGGATATACGCATCGAATCTACCGTGTGTACAATTTAATTAGAAAAAAATCGGGAAAAACATTTCGCAATCTGGGACGTCAAACAGCGCTCGAAAAGATTCAGCGGGAAATGTTAGGGAACGGACAGGTCGCGGAAATGACGACGAGGGGTTTGTTGTAAAACTATTTTGCAGTAGATCCCTCGTCGTCGGAGTTACCCTGCTCGCCATGGAAACGTCAAGGATGATGACGCAATTGTGTCGTCATGGGACGGCGATTCCTGACGAACGACGCGGTTTATGACCCTCCATAAACGACAAAACGCAAGAGTGTACGTATACTTATTGGCGCAACCACCGTCGGGGCGCTATGCACACGGCCGTATGTATTTACCGTCGCGGTGGATGGTTTACCCAGGGTATCGCGCACAACACCCCGCGCACACCCTACGTACACCGTGTCACCGTGCCGCGGGCTCGCGCCTCGAAATGCATTGCAGTTCGGGGTGTGCATTGCACCTAAGGGCGTAGCCATGCGAAACCTCCGCAATGACAGTTTGCCCCACGAATTTATGCAGACGGCCGTGCCGGCGCGGCAACGGGATACTTTCGACCTCGGTTATTCTACGCGAGCCTCGACTCTCACCCCGGCGCCTTTGAAGTGTCGCGCGGCTTTCGGTGTAACCGCTCACTCATGAAATATAATCCACGGCCGACTCATATAGGGTTGACTCATTTACGCCGGAACTTTAACGTCATCGCGAAATAGGGTATTGCACAGGAATCTCTCTCTCGCTCGCTAACGCCAGCTGCGCACTACTTCCCCTTTTCTTGTCCGCAACAATGGTCCGTGATCTTTTGTATCTCGTATTCGTTCTAATTAGTAGCATTTTCTGAATGGAATATCCTGAAATAATTTCCGCTCGAGGTATCAGTGTGCTCTTGTTAAATCTGAACTTGGAATGCATAAAACATTCGTCATTTTTGCATGCGGATCGGAAAATACTTAATTATGGTGTATTGTTTTCAACATTTCGCCAATAAATTAGAATCCAAGAGAGTCCAGAATTTACATAATAGAATATAATGAAAAATATAGAACAATATAATCTTTGTTCTTGCATGTTTATGCGTTCCAAAAAAAGCTAGTAATATTTTTCACGGACGTTTAGACATTATTTTAATTGCAACTTTTTTTACATTACTAAATTTTAATAAAATATCGA